GAAGGTGGTGGGAAGGGGGGGGGGGGTGGGGGTGGGGGTAGAGTGGGCTTTGTATTGGGAATTTTATTTTTGTAAGCTGCCTGGAGTCACTGTGAGTTGGGCAGCCATGTAAATTGTACGTATGTACGTATGTATGTACGTATGTATGTATGTATAAATAAATATGGTACCGGGATTTCCCACAATGCCTTGGACTTATGCTATACTCCAGTCATTATGGTGAATTTTAAATGGCAATTAATAGCTGGCTAGTAGCCAATGTACAGGATTCATAGTAGGCTCCAGCCCAAACTGCCATATGCAGAAGGGAACTGCACAAAGCCTTACAACAGTTCTTTACAATGCATATATTGCTGCTTGGGATTCAAATTCAGAATAACTATCTGTAAGTAAGGATCTCTCACTTTAATGCAACCTATTCAGAAGGTATCACTTCTGAATATTTATAAAAAATGGTTTTCAAAATGATTAAATACTGGAGATTCACAATCCAAACCATATAGATTATGCAAAAGGAAAAAAGATACAAGTTACAATCTCCTAGTATTTTACATTTTGGAGGGTCTCTTGGGAGGTTTAAGGCACCTATTTTGCATCTTTTGGCTGCAAAATTTAACAGTTTGCTATCACATTTTTGCAGCACAAACCAGGTGCTCTAAAGACCACAAAACAGGTCATGGGCTGTGGTTTACCTGACCAGGTGCAAAGCCAAAAACTAAACAAACCATATGACCAAGTTTGTACATCATATATCCTATATGCTAGATTATAGATGTGTCTTGTTTTTCACTACCATGTTGAAGGTAGTTATGACCTTATCCTTCCATTGCAATAACAAAATTGAAATTGCTCACAAGAAGTTGTGAGCAAGCCATCACTAAAACATTAAAGAAAAAGATGTTGCAGATAGAAATATATTACATAAAAGACCACAAACATTTTTTACCTTTGGGCATGGCTCTTTAATATTTGCTTCATCCCAGATTTTTAAGATTGATGCTGTTTACCTCCCCCAAATCATAGCTGAAGTGTGGGGATGAAGAAAAAAACCATTTTTTCCATGGGCTCATGGTCAAGGTTGCTTACTGCTTTTGAGAATTCATGTGAAGGCCTACAATAACATCCTGCACCCCAATAACCTCCATGCAGAGTACTAAAATGTCAGTCTCCTGGCTCCTGAGTTTAGGAAAAATGGACTTGTGAAGAATAAACCCAAGTTGGCTTGTGAAGAATAAACCCACGTTGGTAAATTAACAACTGTACCATTTAAGCTACTCTGACACTCAAAACGAAAGATTAAGAAAAAGGCTGGGGAAGACCAACCTTGGCTTAGATCAAGCCCTTGGCGGTTAGTACATGATTCTCTTTCTCTTTCTCTCTCTCTCTCACACACACAGAATAGATATCTCGAAAGATACATTGGAGGAAGTGGACTAAAGGTTGTGGCATCATAAATTTTGCTTGCCTTCAAGATACCATTGGACTCCTTTGTGGATTTTACAAGTAAGCAATAATTGGAGAGCGCATAGTCCACCTCCGAGACTGCGCGGCCTGGCCAGAAAGCAGAAATCAAGTTGGACGCAACAATTTCCTTAACCCGAAGCCCAATCAAATTGACAGGCTACTGTTTGAGGACCCCGGTGGGACCTCCCAGGTAAACCCGCTGCGCCGTTCCGAGCGGGGCGCGTGAAAGAGAGGGAGCGACCGCGGGCAAGCCGAGAGAACGAGAACTGAAGGCGGCGTCCAGGCGACGCGAAGGAAGGTGGGGGGGAGGAACGGGGAAGAGCCTCGGTGGTGCTGCCGGGCGACGGGAGGGGCCTAAGCCGACCGCGCAGTTTTGGGTCGCTGGCTTTCTCGCTTTCCCTTTTTTCCTTCCCCCGCCCAGACCTGGAGCTGGAAGGAGGAAGAGAACACGAGGCCCGCAGAGGCTTTTGCGCTGAGCTTCGGGGAGGTTGGCTGGCTGGCAGCTCCAGTTTCTACGAGGAGGAGATCTCTCCCCATAGCAGGGCCGGAGAAAAAAAGGGAAGCCCAGCTTGGGACTTGGCGACGGGAGGAGGAGGAGAGGAGGAGGAGGAAGCGGAGGGTGCTGCAACCTGGCGACCAAACCGGTCGCGTGCCCGTCGGGAGGCGCTGCTGCCCTGCGGCGCAGAGGCGCAACTGGGGCAGGAGCGCGGACGCCCGAGGCTGAGCTGAGCTGAGCTAGAGAGCGCGGAGCAATTGGCCGCCGCCGTTCCCTCCCGCGCCGGCTTGCCTGGACTTCGGTTTGGCTTCTGGAACCGCGTCGCCTGCGGCAAGCTCGGTCTCTCAATTGCTGGAGGTGGGTGTGCGGGAGAATCGGCGCGGCTGGCGCTGCTGCTGCTGGAGGAGGCCTTTTTCTGAGCTGCCCACAGAACCTGAGCCTGGCCTGCTGGGGAGCTGCGTGGTGAGGAGGGGGGACGGGTTGGCGCCAAGGAGAAGCGGGGAGGCTCATTGGTGAAGGTGGAAGCTGCGTGGCGAAAGGGAGACATGGCTTCATTCGCGGCGCTCAGAAGGGCTCTTGTACCCTTCCCCACCTCCACCCCTTGATCTTGCTTGTCAGAAAGGACTGAACAGGTGGAGGGATGTTGTTGTCTTTAACCCACAGCGTCTCAGTCTTTGCCAAATGATACACCCCCCCCTCACGTAACTACCGTCCAATAAGAGGTAAGAAATGGGGGGGGGCGATGATCGAGATTCTTCTCACTCACCATCTCAGGATGTGGGGCTGGTCGTCTATCCATCGCCGCGCTTTTCAAAGTGGGCAGTTTGGGAGGTGCTGTTTCGGCTGCTGTCTGGTGTGGGCGAGGCGTGGATAATTCCACGGGTCGGGGAAGTTGTTGAGATGGGTGATCTTGTATAGGAAAGTAAAAGAAATGTTCTGGAACTGTCATTACTCAGCTTATACACATGCTACGATTTCTATTCCAACACCCCTCCCCCCCAAAAAAAAAGATCGAGAAGAAGTACTTCCTGCAAATTCTGTAGGTGTCCTTAACAGGGGAAGAGCACAAGTCGTCTTGGCTGCCTGAAAGAATCAAAGCATTTAATGTCCTTTCCCACCACCCATCCAGTTTTGCCTTCTGGTAATTAAGCATCCTGTTATGGAGAAGAGCAACAGTTAGACTTCTGTTAAGGCTAGGCCAGTGCCTTCTATTCATGATGTTGGTTCTTTCTGGTTTCTTCAGCTTGTAAGAAGGTCAGGACTCTTTCTAAAACATGTAAAGGGATTAATTGCTCCATGTGTTTGTTCTAAATTCCAGTGGTATAATGTGCTAGCTTGGTAGCAAACCCCACTGAGTTTTAAGGGGGGCCTCAAGATTGTGTATTAGGATTTGGGTGTTAAATTTTATTAAATGCAGGGAGCAACTGCTTTTAATTAAAAGGGCACCTTTATCTAAATGGTTTAAAGTATATAAAAAAATAACCAATAGACCTTTTGCAGGAATTCATAAGACATTGCTTATAAAATATAATTGAATTTGTTATCTTAAATGGATGATTGGGGAGAGAGGTAGAAATTATTCTACTATGCAAAGGAATTTAGGATAAAAGTATTCAGGCATTGTTTTTTTCTGGACTAAAGGTAGGGACATCAATTGCACATAGTTGGGTTTAAATATACAGTGAAATAATGAAGTGATAACATAAAAATACTTTGATATTATGGAAATGTTCTGTTCTTAAAGGAAGCTTTTTGCTCAATATATGAAGATTGTCTTGCATTATCACAAGATTGTTTACCTAAAATAGCATTGCTTCCTGGAACCAATAGCTAGTGCAGAATTCTGTAAGTGAGGGAGAGTTTTTTTGTTTCACTATATGCAAAACACACCTTTGTGTATTTGCTGTGCATATCTTTGTGTAATAACATTTTTCCATTAAGAAGCAGAGTGTGCTAGGTGAAAAAAATGCCAACAAAGATAGATGATTTTCACATTCCCCCCCCCCGCTCCAACTTTTTTAGCTGTTGGATTAGATAACCTGCAGAAAATGTCTGTAGCTATCTCATATTAAAATATGAAAAGTTTAGAGATAAGAGATTTAATGGTTTTATCAAAGGTCCTCTGACTACCAGGAGTGATTCATTAGGCTAGTTCAGGTATGATAGGCGCAGGATAGCATCATAAGAATGCCTTTATCTTCCCAGGACTCCTGCAATCCATAATTGTTAGCAATTCAGAAGTTTTTACTTCTGTCTTAGGTTCACTGTGTTTTGGTCTTGGTACTGTTTCATTCTCAACCTGGCCAAAAACAAACTGATTTTAACAATGTTTAGTGAAATAAACCAGCTTCACATCATAGGAAAAAGACCTTTTAGTGGTAACATCCTATTTGTAAAATATATTACTGAGAGAGGCTTTTTTGGTGTCTATATTGAAATTCTTTTGGCAACAGGTGAAGGACCTTTTGTACATTCAGGCATTTTAAGAACTCTAAAGATTGTGTATTATTTTATTGTTTCTGCTTTTTTTCTTATTTTAAACTGTTATGAGGCTTTCAGTCTATTCTAAGTTGGTTGGCTATTAGTGCTGCGTACAAATAGTAATGGAAACATGTTAACGTATCATTAATCTAGATTTCAAGCAAACCCATGGTTATGCAGAAGCAAGGACGGGAACCTGAGAAGGGGCTAGACTGACTCTCATAATATAAAATCATAGCTTAAAGTTATAACCAATTACTTAAAGTGTATATAATGAAACATGAAGTCTTCTGTAATTTCTATCCAGCTTTTTTTAGATTACGGGAAACAAAAAGCAAACACCAAAACAAAAACAGAAGATTGTTCCCCAGTCCTTACGTTGAAGAACTATGCTAGAGGAGGCATACTCTAGATGTTTAGGACTTGTTCTCAGTGTCCTAATCAGTTGCAACAGATTGTGAGAATCTAGTAGACACTCAATTCCTATATTAATTTGCTAAGGATTTTAGTATTTCCTAATGTTTGCAAGACTTGTTTACCTAAATTGGAATACAAAATTTTCACAATGCATCATATGTCTGTGAATCCTTGCAGTCTGTCTGTTTTTTCTCATTAATATTCAGTACTGAGATTAGTGTAGTAGACTTCCTTCTCCCTTTGCACTGCATAATTGGAAGAAAGAAACATGCCTGATTTTCTCTTGTGTAGTGACTTAATAAAAATATTAAAGGTCAATGCAGCTATCTTTTAATCTTTTCACAAAATCAAAGTGATAAATAGAGAGCTGTAACAAAGTATTTGTACCCTCATTTCTAAGATGTGGACAAAAATGAGCTTTTCCAGTGGATTGCTTTCTTCAGTTTCTTTCACTAATACTTGAGAATGCACTTATTTCTCTACTGTTAGCAGTTGTTCTATAGATTTGGAAATTTCCTTCATGCATTCCAGTATAATCCTTTACATGTTTACCCAGGAACAAGTTCCCTTAAGTATGCATAGGATTAGAGCCTACAATTATTTTCCTACAATCACTGAAGATGTTATGAAAATACAAGCATTGCCAAAAACAATTGGTACATTTTTTCTTTGATACTCATTTAGTATTTGGTAAAGAAATGTTTTGCATTATCTATTGTGTGATGCAAATGTAAGTACAATATAGAAAATGCTCATTTCAGTCAATAGCTGTGTAAAACCATTTACATCTTATAAAAGTACGTAGAGCATGAATTCTGGAATTCTTTCCAAACTCTTTTCTAGTGGCCATAGGAGGCACTGTATTTTATTCTGCATAATAATGTATTGCATTTCTGTGTGTGTTTTTGTTTTTCCCTTGCATCTATGTGTTACATCTATGTGCGTACAGGGAAGCACAGAGCAGACTACTGTACTGTATGTATGCTCCACTCTGGGTCACATGACCAGGAGGAAGGAGTGCTTAGAATGAAGGCGTCATCAACATTCTGAGAAACTACCCACTGCCTCTCCCATTGGGATGTGCTGCAGGGATTTTTCAGGATGTTTTCTCTGCGGCTTCCACCAGGATCTCGTCCATTTTGAAACCTACCTTTTCTTTTGGCAGCTTCTCCCCCTACTCCAGATTTAGTCCTGCTCTATTCAGTTATAACACTGTTAGACAGACAAATGGATAGGCAGAGTCTCAACCTCCTTTGCATAACTTCTTTTCTATTTTGTTAGTTTGAAAGAATAATGAAGAGTTACTATATCTCCCGCAAAGTTTTAATTGGTGCAGTGTGTCAATTAAGCTTTAATGGTAGGGAATGTCAATATAAAACAAATATTCTGAGACTAAGGACTTTTGAAGGGCAATGTACCACTGCATAAGTTGTGTTCCTGTAGTCCTATTTGTCATAAAATGAATCAGAATATTAAAATATTTCTTTTTCTTTTCTTCTGTATTTTAAAACTTTGGAAAGTATTCAGAATTTATAAGCCAGAAATGGTCTTATCCAGAAACCTCAAAATGTCATATTTTAGTAACCTGAATTGTATAAACGTAAACATGCTGAATAAGGAAATGTAGCAAATATGATGGGGTAGACTGGGACAGAACCCTAGTTGTCCAATTATGGATAGCCCTTAATATGGAGCAGAATAACCAGTTCGCTTGAATAGAGCTACTGAACTGCATCCTGTACCTGTTTTGAATCCTACTGCATCACATTGAATTAATTTCCACAGCAATAATGCTG